GAATTCCTTTAGTATGGAACTCGGAATTTTATAGATAGGAGAAAAAAAGACCGAAAGTTAAGATTCTGTAAAATACGTGCAATTTTATAGCTATCTGATGGAAAGAAAGGAATGTCAACAGAAATCTTATAATTTCCTGAAACAAGTGAATGCTTTTTTGCAGTAATTAAAATTTTTTAACTGCTTGGATAAAAATGTTGAGTGAAAAGTTACAGTCAAAATAATAATTTAGTTCTTGATAATAATTTAGTTCTTGATTAAGAGCCAATTTAGAGTAGCAAACTCGAACTGAACGGAAAACAAAGGAATGAAACGAAGCTAACTTTTGTTTAGTCGGATGACATGATTCGAAGTGTGGAGGAAAGCAAACTGATGAAAGTGTAAAGTAAAGCATAGTACTGAAGTTGGATGTGTTACGAGTGACTAAAATGTCAAAGTACGCAAGAGAATTGCATGTCTCAAACTCAAAAGTGAGCTGAATAACAGTATCAATGGAGTTCATTAGTGAACGAACTCTATTTAAATCATCTTTATTACCATCAAACAGGGTAAATATGTCGTCTACATAGCGGAACCATGCTGGAAAATTTAAAATTTCAAATAAATTTGATTTATAATAATGCATATAGATATCAGCCAGGATAGGCTTAGAGGGCTTCCCATAGCCAATCCCTTCAAAAAGGATAAAAGTATCGTCTATGTAGCGAAACCATACCGGGAAGTATCAAACAATTTTCATTCATAATAATTCATGTAGATATCAGCCAGGATGGGACTAAGGGGGCTTCCCATGGCTAATCCCTCAGTTTGCCTGCATTTTTTTTAAACAAAATGCGTTTGTTTCAAACAAAGTGAGGGAAATTAGCTCAAAAATCTCGATGCATGAGGAATGAAATTCACGAAGTCTGATTTCTTAATGCACCCTCCACTGGAACATTGGTGAATAATAATTTTACATCAAAAGAAACCATGAGTAAATTTCTAGAAGCAATGCTTTTAACTTTTTTTACAAACTGTATTGGATTTTTTATGGCGTAAATGTTATTATCTATAGTTATAGATAATAACAATAATAATATAGTTTGTTATAGAGTTTAAAATCTAGAAACTAAATATTTAGCTAATTGGTGGGAGGCAGTGCCTAAATTTGATACAATAGGGCGGAAAGGAATACCACTTTTTATGAGTTTGGGAAGAGCATAAATTCGCAACAGATGGGATAAGCGATTGTTTTAAGTTCGTCGAAAGGATTTGTAAAAGATTTGATCGCAGTTTTTATTTATTTAGCAGTTCGAAGGTGAAAGTTCTTTATAGATCGGATAATATGGGCTTTCTTTTAAGAGATTAGTTACACCATCGATGTACTTGTTCTGGTCCATGACAACTAATGGCCCTCTTTGTCGGCTTCTGAAATGATAATGTCCGGGGTTAGAATGAATTTCGCGCATTGTAGCTCTTTCTCTCGCTTTTAAATTTGGTTTCAAAGTCTTATTGTTGAATTTCACATTATGGGCAATAAGATGTATCATAATTTTTTTCTGTGTGTCTGAAACTCTACATACTGAAGTTGAAAGCTTTTTCGATAGGAGCCAAAATCTTTAGAATCGAGGGTTTTGAAGTTTGTAGGAAGTTAAAATTATATTTCAGAATTCTCTCTTGTTCTTCTTATAAACTAACACTAAAGATATCAACTATTGGATTAATATTTACCATGGGAATTTTTTTAAATTACTTAAATTGGAAGAATGTGGTTAAAAAAGGTTTTCGGAATTCAAATGCAAGGGTGTTTTTATGTCGGTTAACCACATTCTCAGTTCTAGACCGAGACTTTTGTTCAATGATAGTAAATTCTGGATATGAATTAGATAGTTCCAATGAAGTTTATATAGCTCAAGTTCAATGTTGGATAACTGTTGACGTGTATCCCTTATGATGGACCGAAGCAAGGGAAGTTTGCAGTTTCAGAAAATACTTGAAACACGATTGGAAGATATTTGATTTGAATGAAATTGGGGATCAATTTTTACGTTTACACTTTAGTAAAAAGGTCAAGCTGATTTGGAAATTTCTTTCGTTTCATACGCAAATTAGTGAAGCGATTGATGGATGAAGCCATGATAAACAATAAAGACAATAAAACTAACTTTACTAACCAATAATAAAGCTCAAAACTTTGGGCGAATTTCATATTGAAAATGAATACAAAACAAAATATTTGCAACTAGAATGAAATCAGCTAAGCAAAGAAAAATATCGAATATGAAAATTAAAAGTGTATAAAACATAACTACAAAAAATAGAAAACTTACCAAAATTCTTACAAATATCTGAAATTCACTGCCATTGAACAAATACCTTGATCTAGAACTGAGAATGTAGTTAACCGTTACAAAAACACCCTTACATTTAAATTCCAAAACCTTCTTTTACAGTCTTCCAATTTAAATAGTTCAAAAAATCTTCCCATTGTAAATATTAATCCAATAGTTAATATTTCTAATGCTAGTTTATCAGAAGAACAAGAGAGAATTCTGAAATATAATTTTAACTTCTTATAAACTTCAAAACCCTCGATTCCAAAAATTTTCGATACTATCAAAAAAGCTTTCAAATTCGGTTAAGTTTCAAATAAACAGAAAGAAATTATTATGCAACTTATCGCCCATAATGAGAAATTCAACAAAAAGCCTTTGAAACCAAATCTAAACTCTTGAAAAAGAGCTACAATGCGCAAAATTCAGTCTAACCCGGACATTATCATTTCAAAGCCCGACAAAGGTGGTCAGAGATCCGTCATCGACAAGAACACGTACATCGATGGTGTCATTGAGCTCTTAAACAAAGGACCACACAATCCGATTCCTAAAGACACTACACCTTCGGAGCTCTCAAAAATAAAATCTGCGATCAAACCTTAACAAATCTTTTTGACCAACTTAAAACAATCGCTTATCCCATCTGTTGCGAATTTATGCTCTTCCCAAAATTCATAAAAGTGGTATTCCTTTTTCGCCCTATTGTATCAAATTTAGGCACTGCCTCGTACCGGTTAGCTAAATATTTAGTTTCTAGATTTTCAACTGTATTTGATAATAGCATTTACACCATAAAGTATTCAATAGAGTTTGTAAAATAAGTTAAAAGCATTCTCCTAGAAATTTACTCGTGTTTTCTTTTGATGTGAAATCATTATTCACCAGTATTCCATTAGATGTCTCGAAATCAGACTTCATGAATTTCATTTTTCCTGCATCGAAACTGATGTCCCTCACTCTGTTTGAAAGAAACGGATTTTGTTTTACAAAATAAATATTACAAGCAAACTGTGTGATTAGCCATGGGAATCCCTATTAGTCCCATCCTGCCTGATATCTATATGGATTATTATGAATCAAAATTATTTGAAACTTTAGACTTTCCAGTATGATTGCGCTACGTAGATGATACATTTACCCTGTTTGAATGTAATAAAGATAATTTAAGTAGGGTTCTTTCAATAATGAATTCCATATACCTGCTATTCAGTTCACTTTTGAGCATGAAACATGCAATTCTCTTCCGTTCCTTGACATTTTAGGCACACGTAACACATCTAACTTCAGTCCTACGGTTTACCGTAAACCTTCATCGGCTTGCCTTCCTCCACACATCAAATCTTGTAATCCGACTAACCAAAAGTTTACTTCATTTTATTCCTTTGCTTTCTGTGCACTTCAAGTTTGTTCCTTTAAATTTTCTCTTGATTAAGAACTAAATTATTTAAAAGCACTTTTACGTATTGACATGGGCTTGTCACCCAAAATTATTAACCAAGTAATTAAAAAAATTCTCATCTCAACACACCAAAAGGCACACGTTTGTTTTAGGATATTATAAGAATTCTGTTGTCATTACTTTCATTCCATCAATTAGGTACAAAACTGCACGTACTTTACAGAAATTTAACGGGGTCGGTTGTTTATTTTTCTATTAATAAAATTACGAGTTCCATACTTATTGACCCCATTCCGGATATCAATTCCTAGAGTATTTACTGAATTCTTCGCCAGTGGGATTTAATATACATTGGTCAAACTAAGAGTGTGTTAAAAGTTCGTGTTAAAGAACATGAGGCATATTTTCGGGAAACGAAAGCACAGAAGCACTCTGTTTCTCAGCATTGTTTGTCCGATTATCACACTTTCTATTTATCTGCAGCCAAAACTATTCCAAAAACATCTTCTATTGGTGAATTGACTTTTTTAGAGATGTTTCACATTCAAAAAGACCTTTCTGTTCTAGTTAACGAGCCTAATTCAAATCCATCTTTAAGCCTTTAAGAAATTATGTTTTAGTTTCGTTGTTTCATGAATAGATGGCGTCAGTAGCTTAAATTCTGTCCACTCATTTTTATCTTATCTTGTCTCTGTATCTTATCTTGTAATTTTAACTTTGGCAGTTGACTTTGCTTGTTCGGTAAAACCGTCGAAACTAGCCCTATGTAAATAATAATGTTTTGCATGGGAGGGAAAAGTCACAGAAATGTTAATTTTTCCTCTAAACTGGGAATCGAATTTATCTGGCACGCTGCTAATGAGAGCTCTCTTATCGTTTGATACATTGCATACTGAAGCAAATTGTTAAGTGATAAGTCCAATGTGATACTTCAACTTGCCCAGTTATTCTGCAAAAGAAATCATTCCATAATCATCGAGTTTAATTTCGGTGCGTATTTGATCGAACCTTTAATAATGAATCAGTATAAATTTAATAGCATTTGATGGTCCATGTGTAACTACATTGCAACGAAACATCGTTAAATTTGGAGATTTTACAAGAGACAGGGCAAACATATGCTGTATCGAATGAACATTTAGGGGAGCGTTAAGTGAGACCTTTCTGAATATATAATTGTTAGCTTTTCTATGATAATCATCAAGAACAGAAAACACCTGATTATGAATTGGCTATGCATTATCTGTTGTGTTTGTCATTTAACTGTCTAATCAAAATACACTTACTTAAAGGCCTAGAAACTGATCTTTCCTCGAAGGCTTCGACTTTTTGCGGCGTGAAAATAGCTTTTATAATTCCATTCTCGTGATTTCCTTCCACTATTCCTAAATGTGGAGGTGCATCTCTGGAGCGAAAAAGTTTGAAAGCAAATTCAGAATACATGGGCCCATCAATGGTGTTAGAGACGCCTGCTGGCAGACGCAAGGCTGCAACTAGCTTGCCATCTACATATACATCCACATTACAAGGTATTTGCTTATTATTAGTTACCAAAATTTCGTAACTGGAACGATGCGGCATAGTCACGTAGAAATATGGACCCCTGCTGCTCTTGTAAAAATTTCCTGGCTGAACACCGAGGCTAAAACCACTTTCTTCTATATATTTCTTTGGCCAATTCTCCTGTTAAATGAAAATTATGTTAATATTAAAAAATTTGCTTTTAAACTTGATTAAATATTAAAAACCGTTCTCTTAAACTTGATTACTTATTATCTCAAATAGAAGATTTTAACTATTTAAATTTTCAAATTTTAAGATGTTTTATCTTAAAATTGTATTTTATAAACGGTATACGTCTTGTCTACGCAGGCTAACACAGTAAAATCTCGCTTATCCGACATAAACTGGAGCGTAGAAAACTGAATAAACGAAAATGTTATATAACAAAGAGGTGTTAAGAAAACGCCTATTAAATGTCAAACTGTGTTACAGGTTTTTATTTTATGAGCCTAATAATCGTTATACCAAAGCAGGAAAAATTAACAGAAAAAGAAAACTAACAGTTAGAGAATTGCCGGAAGTTAAATATAGTTAAATATAATATATGCAGTACTTCAAACATACATGATTGAGAAAAATTTTTTTATCCCAATCTGCTTCTTTCAGGAGTGCTCTTTCTTCGCTGAGAAGTCTCAACCTGTTCACAGCATCATTATGACGATTCCTGTAGCTTCTTCATGCTACTCAGTATATTTAACTGCAGTTTCTAGAGCCTTAATACCATCGTATGTGACATTCTGGGAGGATCAACAGTTGCTGCTTGATCTTGATTTCCAGTTTCGCTTTCATCGAAAGTGATAAGAACGACAGTTTCTTCTACAGTAATATCATACTGATCATCACCTTTCATTCAACTTACTAATTCTTGGAAGCATGCATCTTCACATCCACGGACACATTGTACTAAATATAGAATGGTTTCTTCGGCTTCATCTGCGCTTTTCGTTTTTATGCTTTCATCACCGCCTAGCAGTTTCTCCCGTGATTTGGCAATTACTGTAGCCCTTTCGTCAGTCCAGTTCCGTGTACCTCAATAAGTACCATCCTATACATTGACTTGTTTAAATTTTTCAGTCATGCTTTGTCTTTCTTCAATCTCTTCTATCACTGAGGATTCTATCACTGTGATGGTACATTTCTATCGTTTCCAAAATACCCTGATGATGAACTGACAAGCATTGTAACATTTACTGAACTGACAAACACTGTAACGTTTCTTCCAACAGTCGAACAGACCAGCACCTTCTGTAAAATCTCTGTCCGCTTCATTGCAATCATTAAGAAAATGAAACCCTTTTTAATGTGAATTATCTCTGAAATAGACACACTTTTGACCTTGATCTATGTAATAACTAAACATACAAAGCTTAATTCCCGAATTCATAATTTTTCTTTCTTTAAATGTGCGCCCACCAGCGGCCGAGCGGTAAAGTCGCTGAACACTGGTAGTTCGGTCCGAGGTTCGAATCCCGCAAACGGGCTGGCTGCATGGGCGTTTCCGTGGTTTTCCCCATGTGTAACGTGTATACGAGCCAGTTTCCCTTAGAATGTCCTCCACGAAGGCATCCCTCCCCTTAGGCAGATAGCCCTCGAGGCTTTGCCATAATCACACACACACACACTTTCTTTAAATGCACATTTCATAACTCTTGATGCACGCCATTTCTCTATTTCTATTTGCATCCTTTTCCAGTCTTCTACTACCCGTACAACACCAAATATTTACTTAGTTTCAGTTCAAAGTGTGGTATTCTGACTATCTAATTATGCTTATTGTAGAAGATCATCTTCAGGTTCAACTCATATGTGCAAGCTATTTCTTTCTGCTGCAAAACAGATTCAATAATACAGGGAAATCTTCTGTTTGAATCATCATACATTGAGTCTGATGCGATACATATACTTAAAATATTTTCTCAAACGTACTTTTACAGCGAAAAGTCTTTTTCGGTGTCAAAATACTTTTTTCGAATACAATAAAGTTGGTACTTTCTTCAGCTAAAAACTTGATAACGCAGCCACTGAGCCGTTACATAATGCTATTGTCAAATACGAAAACTCACGTTCACGTTATGAATATTATTTATTGTAGGTGATAGAAAAAACTCATAACAGGAGGCAATCATAGACTGACAGAGGCTGTGGCAAACTAAGAAGTATGATGATTTGGGAAGCTATTTGGATATGATGCATGTTAGAAAAAATTCAAACATGGGTTCACTGGAACTCTTACAGACTGTGTTACATTTAGGGAATTTTGTAAATAAAAAATGAACGATAACTTTAAGCAAACTTTAGACTGAACTTTCTCTCTCAATGGTGCTGGACAGAAATAAACGAATAATAAAGAAGTTGAACTCTTATACCGTGAAAGAAGAATTGGGGGATTTATCTAAACAAATTCGACCAATAATTATGCGACTTTAAAAGAAAGGACAGCATCAAAAATCAAAGTTATTAACTTTAAGTTAATTTAAAGTAAATAAATTAAAGTTACCTGAAAGTAAAAAGGAATAAACCTTTGATGCTGCTTGGGCATAAAATCAGATTTGTATTTTCTTCAAACAATGCAATACCAAACCCTTTATACATTTTATAGGACTGTTATGTCTTTTAAAAATACCATTATTTGAAATCAACATAAACTAAATACATAATTACGAGTATTTTCATAACTTTCTCTAGAGACAGCAATCAATTCATTTCCGTTAATATACAACCAATTCCCCCTAATAATGCACAACCAATTCCCCCTAGTAATAACAAATCCATAAATTCAATTAGTTTAACTAATTCTTCGACAGCTCAAATAAACAAGTATCACAGTAAATCATCTAAATAGGTGGCAGTTAGTATAGTGGTTATTATAGTAATGTTGCTGCATTGTGTTGCTATAAATAAGCACAAATTCTTGAAGCTTCCATGTTTTTAGAATCTTCCCGTTAAACGAATCGAGTAACTAGGCAGATCATCAAATAGGAACATGTAATACATGCTAGATTTAACAATAAACACATTTATTTTTTCTAGCGTATCATAAGTTAAGATAGCTGGTCAGATCACCCCTACAGTATTTCCTTAAAGGATAATAACAATATAGCATATTAAATCCACACTGAACACTCACATAAGAATCTTATCCTGATCTTTGAACATCGAAAAATGTTAATCTTAAATCTTTCAAAACATACAAATAAATCCTCGAAACATTGAAAAATAATTTATTTATTTTAGACACGAGAGATTAGGGGAAATTGTTCTACAAGAAACTGAATGGCAAGAAATTCTGACTTGAATTCAAAGTTTGGAGCTTTATGAATATGTTCTATAAAACGATGACGTTAATGATTAAAGACACTTGTTTTCACTAATTTCAGTGGACCGCATTTTATTTTATGCACACTTTATTTATTTTCACTTAAAATACATTTTTTAAATTCACAATTTGACACAGTTATTAAAATCCAAATTCTCATATGAAATAATCTCGCGACTTTTATGTTGACGAAACAGGTTTCTCTTTCTTGCTGGCTGGCGCTATTACGACAGCGCTTGTAGTTAGGTACGGAACAGATGCTCCAATAAAATTTGAATAATGTAAAATATTTTATGTGAATAAATGTAGATTATTAAAAAAAAAATTTTTGAATGCGATTTTGATCTAGTGGAAACGCGGTATGTTCGGATTTCAGGATCCGGTTAAGGCAAACTTACCCAAGCAGTTTCTTCTATGTCTTTCTTAATATCGTTGATTATTTCTACCCTCTCCTGCAGATAAGATACATTTTCTTGGAATTGCTTTTGTTTACAACCTTCTTTGGTGGCCATTTGGGGAAAGCCAAAAGGCAATTTCACAGCTGTTTGCTTTGGCGTACGTTCTAACTGAACTGTTGGTAAGTCAAATCTACTACTCGTGCCAGATGAAGAAAGACTGGATCTGAATAAATAAAAAAAACAGCAGTATCTAAAGAAGATCCAAAAATTACTTGGAAATACAAATTCTATATAACATATGTTTTGTACAGTACTGAAAAAAAATTAAGCGAATTTGCATATTTTATCGAATTCCATGAAAAGAACTGAACTGAAGGAAAAACACTGCTTCTAGATAAAAGTGCAAATCTTATACTGCAAATACGTAACCCAAGTAACACAGCAACGTCGTAACGACGTTGCAAACTCCTCGCGGATGCCGTTGCAAAAACGTTGCAATATGTCGTCTTTAAGACGCCCAGATGTCCGCAAAACTCCAGTATTTTGCAACCGTTGCATAGAAGTCTTTATTACGCCTTTGCAGATGAGGTTTTTGTCGCATAGACGTCATTATTGCGTCTTTCGTAGGTGATATTTTCGTTGTGAATCATCACGACGTCTTAACGACGGCTAAATTTTCGCAAAATTCCACCTTTTTGCAACAGTTGTGAAAATGCCGTTTTTATGTCCTTGTGTTACATATTGATTTATGCAGAAAAGAAAGCTTATTAATTAATAGATTTTTCTTCTTTTTTAAAATTTTGTATTCCTTGTATTTATTTAAAGTCTAAATATTTTATCATTTCCTGAAAACCAGAAGATAATACAATTTTTTCCCTTTAGACTAAATATGCATAATTAATATAGCCTTAATTATTTTAAGTACATTAAACTATAGTTTTTTTTATTTCTCTTTAGACTAAATATGCATAATTAATAATAGCCTTAATTATTTTCAGTACTTTAAACTATATTTTTTTAAATAACTTAAATTCTAAGTTACGATTATTTAAGATTTCATCATTTCTTTCTTAAGTGAGAGTAATTATGAAAGTCGTTATTATAAATTTATAACATGAATAGTAGGTTTTAAGTAAATAAAACTCAATTAGACATAAATAAAAGTAAATATATATATGTGGGTAAAAAAAGAGAGCCTTTCTGAGAACAGAATTATCACATTTTTCTCTGTTAAATCTCAGAGACATTGAAAATTGCCCCCGTCATGATAAATTAGAAAGCGGTTCTTAAGGTAACATAATCAGTATTTTACCTGAACTCAAGTATAAGTGTATTCACGTTTCACAGTAAACAATATAACCATTAACTTCTATATATCCAAGATATGTAAATGAAAAACGGTATAAAGTAGTTATTAAATGTGATCAAAAATATTTCATACAAAAATATACCTAAATTGCGAAAGTTGTACTTTTTGCACAGTATGCGATGAAATGTTTCATATAATATCACTATATTAATTCAAATAAATTCGTCCTTACTTCAAAAATAATAAAGTCATATTTCAGTAGTGAAATAATTGCTAACATGTGATTTGCATTGATTTCGGAAATATGATTTTTTAAATTATATAAAATGCATAACATAATAACTTACTTTATAAATTAGTTTCATTTTTAAATATTTTGCTATAATATTCATATAAAAGTATTTTAAGTATTAATTATTTTAACAAAATGTTAAACAATTATTTAGCACGTATTTTTAGTACTAATTAAATTTAATAAATCAAAAGAATATATATTAAATTTACATTTCATTAGATGAATCTATCTTCGATTAATATATTTAGATTAAATAAAGTAATGAAACATTTCAAAGTAAATCTTATGCGGACTTCAGACGACCACGTCAAAAGCGGTCATATCATGACGTTTCAGCGACGTCGACAAATTACCAAGATGCAACGGCAAATATTTTGCGTAACATTTTATTTTGATAAATTAATTGTAGAACTTTAAATACATATAATTTACCAATACCATTGGTTAGATCAAAAACATTTTAAACTTAATTTTCTTTTTATCTAATTAATTCGACAAGTAATTCTTCTTCTTAATTTATATTAAAAATTATTGTAACATTTAATATTATAACTTCAGGAGGAAAGACTATTCTCATTTGAAGTTCGTTAACGGCATTTCGCTTCCAACATCAATCACTCATCATTAACAAGATATCATAATCAGCGCAAAGCTTACAGAATAAAGAAAACAACTTAGGGCAATAAACTGGATCTTACAAAATATCGTGCTGGTTTTATGATTAATGTACACAGTTAGCAAACTTAGCTCATCATAATTTTGCTAAATGCAAGTGGCATTAGGAGAATAAATATTGTTTAAGGCTCTGTACGTTGCCTATCTTTTAAGCTTTGTAACAGCTGTTATTACTGACTCCATGACTGCCCTAATGTGGAAATGTACAATGCCTGCTAGGACCGTGGCAGCTGCAGCGCTGTAGTTTTATATGCTTTGGTAATGGTTAATGGGCGTTGCACTTAAAATCTTGATTTTACGTGTATTCATGGGGTTGGCCCAGATTGCCGCTCCGTACGTAATAACATTTTCCACTACCGTATTGTAAATTATTTTGAGAAAATGTGGCTTTAGGCTCCAATCAGAGCCTTGAATGTTTCTAAGGTTATTCGCTATGCGCAAAGTTTTGGACTTCTGTGCTCGAAGGCATCCCGTTTCTGTTCGACATGTAGGAATTTATTTGCAGTGGTGTCGGGAAAGAAGATACTGGACATCTGAGGATTGGAAATGGGTAACGTGGTCGGATGAATCACGCTACACCTCATTTTGCACTGATGGAAGACGTCAAATTTGGAAAGGATTCCATCTTGCCTTACTCGCAATGCACAAAGGTCTGATATGGGTCATGTTCTGCTGGTATAGAAATGGTGCCCCGGTGTTCCACCAAGGTAAACAAACAGCCATGAGATACCTATATATATTGGCAGATCAAGGGCACCCTGCAATGTTACATTTTTCTCCTGATGGTGACGGTTACTTCATGGACGATACTGCAACTATTCATCGTGCCACTAGTGTTCAAAATTGTTTCGCTGAACATCAGTCTGCCTTCTAACACCTTCCCTGATCACCGAATAGCCCGGATCGTAACCTCATAGAAAATGTATGGGATATGGAGTAAAGACGCATCCGACAGCACTCTCTTCTTCGATCTAATTTACAAGACCTAAAAAGCTGCATAGCAAATGCATGGTATTGACTGGACGTAAATGCACACCAAAATCATGTAGACGAGATGCTCAAACGAATCGGAGCAGTTATCTGTGCAAAAGGCGGTCCAATAAAATATTGATCTTGGGTTTCTAATTTGTTAGCCAGTGTGCGTACAAAGTAATGAAATCAACAAGGATGAACCATATCTAAAGAACCTGTTAAAAAACAAACCAAGGAAAACTCGCAAGTACGTCAAGAATATCTTAAATTTTAATAATAATGGACTGAAAATGAAAAGAGGCTATTCCCCCTTTTCGTCACCTCTTCTGAAAATCTATCAAATTAAAGCATAAAACCGTCCAACTTAAAGCGCCATTTTAAGACAAACCGCAGCAAGTACAAAGATAAACCAGTCGATTTTTTTAGAAACAAACTGAAGAAAAATTCTAGAAGCCCAGCACGACGCCCTGTACGGTGTGTACTTCTAACGCCTGCCCATCGGAGAAGGCGTTCTCTGTGGTGCGGGAACACCGGAATTGGAGAGATAATGAATGGCGACGAGTACTCTTTACAGATGAGAGCAGATTCAGTCTGAGTAGCGATTCTCATCGCATACTCATCTGGAGAGAGCGGGAAGCCGCAATCATCCCTCAAACATCATTGAAAGGGACAGGTATGGAGGTGGTGGTGTTCTCGTTTGGGGAGGCATCATGCTTGGTAGTCGTATAGACCTTCACATCTTCGACGCAGCTTCAGTCAACGAGACCCGTTAGTGTAACGAGATTCTTCTTCCATATGTACGTCTTTTTAGAGGCGCTATGGGTCCGCAGTTCCTTTTCATGGACGACAATGCACCATGTCATCGCACAGTAGCTGCCGAACAGCTCTTAGAGAGTGAGGATATTGAACATATGGATTGGCCGGCACGATCTCCGGATCTCAATCCCATCGAGCATGTATGGGATTTTCTAGGCATACGCTTGGCAGCTCGTGCCTTACCACCAGTAACGATTCCGGAGCTTCGATTGGCGCTGCAAGACGAATGGCCAGCAGTGCCTCAACAACTTATTGACACCCTCATTCTCAGTATGGGCAGACGCTGTGAAACCTGCCTAGCAGTCATTAGAGATCATATCCCCTATTAAAGACCGGATGTTTCTTGCTGGACACCCATCACAGGGATGTTTCGGCCTTCAGTCGCATTGCGCTCCATGCTACTTTTTCAATAAAGCTTCTTTTTATCCCTCTGATTTCTCTTTTAGTAACTGTTGCTTACATTACTCATGTCCTTATGTATTGGGGATCTTACGGTATTAAATGTGTTGATTTGGAAAGCTTTTGTACAAAGTTATATTGAAAAAACCGTCTCGTCCTTAATTTTTGCACACCAGTGTATATTAGATATACATACAGGGGTATACATTTGCATGAACAAGTGCACACGCATACGTTTGCTACACATTGAATATGCATTGCACATTGAGTGTATTATATACAGCCTAGGTTAGTAATAGTAAATTATTGCACATTTTCCGCATTGATACAACCTACACATATCATTATTATTATGAAAAGTTGACTTGTATATGCATAGTCATCTATTAGATACATACACATTACACATACTGGGGTAGATAAATAAATACATATATATGGATATATAGGTACACATACATTGGGTATGATATTATATACATTATACATTGGGTATGATATTATATACATTATACATTGGGTATGATATTATACATATTAATTATTATACATTGAATAATAAATGAAGATTTAAATAAATGAGGTCACGTACATTGGAAACACATTACACATGCAGGGGTAGATAGATAAAAACACACACATGGGTGAGTAAGTACACATACGCTTTTAGATAAACATTGGGTATAGGTACACATTGTTATTAGATACACATTGAGTTTGTATTGCGTATTGAGTATGTTATATACAGCCTGTGTAT